TTGTGGGAAGCTTCTGGGAACCTTGCAGCAAAGTTGTGGGAACCTTGCGCGAACCTTGGAGCAAAGCTGTGGGAACCTTGGGGCAACCTTGGAGCAAAGTTGTGGGAACCTTGGGTGCTTTGTTGGAAACTTGTGAAGCAACATTGTGGGAACCCGGGGGAACCTTCTAAGGAACCTTAGGGGGTGCCTTGCAACAAAGTTGTGGGAACCTTGGAGCAATCTTGTGGGAACCTTGGGAACTTGTGGGGCAAAGTTGTGGAAACCTTGTGGGAACCTTGGAGCAAAGCTGTGGGAACCTTTGGTCCCTTGTGGGAACCTTGACGCAAAGTGGGCAAAGTTGTGGGAAGCTTCTGGGAACCTTGCAGCAAAGTTGTGGGAAGCTTGTGGGAACATTGGAGCAAAGCTGTGTGAACCTTGGAGCAAACTTGTGGGAACCTTGGGAACCTTGGGGGAACCTTGTGGGAACCTTGTGGGGCAAAGCTGTGGGAACCTTGCGAACCTTGGGGGAACCTTGTTTGGCAAAGTTGTGGGAACCTCGTGGAACAAAGTTGTGGGAACCTCGTAGGAACGTTGGAGCAAAGCTGTGGGAACCTTGTGGAACCTTGGGAACTTTGGGAACCTTGCAGGGACCTTGCAGGAACCTTGGGAACCTTGTGGGAACCTGGCGGGAACCTTGTGGAACAAAGTTGTGGGAACCTTGTGGAACAAAACTGTGGGAACCTTGTGGGAACGTTGGAGCAAAGCTGTGGGAACCTTGGGGGACCCTTGTGGAACAAAGTTGTGGGAACCTTGGGAACCTTGAAGGAACCTTGCAGGAACCTTGCAGGAACCTTGCAGGAACCTTGCAGGAACCTTGCAGGAACCTTGCAGGAACCTTGCAGGAACCTTGGGAACCTTGTGGGAACCTGGCGGGAACCTTGGAACCTTGTGGGAATCTTGTGGGAACCTGGGGGAATGTCTTTGGGAGCTGCTCCGGCTTGCTCCGAAACCTTTACTATGGCTGAAGACCCCAAAGCATGCTGCTGTTGGGGAAAAATACAACAGATTTGCCATGTAAGGCGGCGTTCAGAAAAACAAAACAGGCACCGTCAACATCTGTCAACTACCATGGTCCCACCAAAACGCGACACACAAGAAAGCAAAAACAACAAAGAACTCCAATCTCCCTCCGTTTCCCTGCAAAGCCTTAGCAATCTTAGCGGCTTTTCACCTGGTGATTTCCACTTGGATTCCTCTTCCGCTTCTTCAGTTGGTGACACCTTGATCGGGACACTGTCCCTTCAAACAAAATCGGGGCCTCTCAACTTGGAGACGCCCCCCACGGGGCCGGGCGACTCCGACGTCGACGAGCGTCGTCACCGGTCACCGAGCCATGACGAGACACAGAGCGCCAAGCGGTGACACTTCACCGCCTGCTCCTGCAGCGCACCGGACTTGGGAAGCCTCGGGAGAAGACGGTGTGACGGAGACGGAAACGGACTTTTGACCGGTGGTGCAGCCGGTAAAGGAGGGATGTCCATGTTCAGAAGCCGAAAGAGAAGAAGCCAGATGGATGGTTACAGTAAGTATGATTGTCAATGTGTGATATTGTGTGATAGTCTGTAAGAGCCGTGTGGGAGCCGTGATAGCCGTGGGATCCAGAAACACGGCCTGTGTGGTTCCGGAAGTGCACCGGGTTGATCGAAGACTTCGAAAGGCTCTTCAGCGCGACGGCTGAGGTCGGTCACCCACTTCAAGAGCATGGAAGCGATCGAAGATCCAGCCCTGGTGTTGAATAATGTAGGTGATGTGTGCCTGGACCATCCTGTCTGGGTGTCCAATGGAGATCCCGGATAGTAGTGGAGGGTAGTCCATTGGTGACCCATTGGATGGTCCTGGTGTGTGTGTGTGTTTTGCTTGTTTCTGTTGAAAACCAGTGGACATGCGGAAATTCCCGCTATGGAAAACAAAGGACATGAGGGAAACTGAGAGGTGGCAATCAGATTGTCTAAGACTACTTGAAAGCGGTCCTAATCAGCTATCAGCCAGGCTCAGAAGGATTGTTTATGTTTGTTTGCAAAAGCTGTTCAGCTACAAGTGTAAACATCTCCACAAGACCGTTGAGCTGTTTAAGTGGATGATGGTAGAGTGTCTAGCAAGTGGTGCCATGTCTCGCCATGTCTTAGACACCGTTGACACCTCCAAGTCGTTCAATGTCTCGATCAGGTCGCTTGATCGAGCAATCCGAGAGTTCCTCTCGTCCGCAGAAGTGAAGCAACGTGAGCTCCTAGCGAGACGGCCGACGGACGGGCCGACGGCTCGAGCCGCTTCTCCGGCCGTGAAACCTGGAAGACAGGAGACATCCTGGTTCTACAAAGACTGTTCCAGGTCCGACTCTTCCAATCTATTGGTTTAACTTGTTTTCGGCCTTTTTCAGTGAAATGTGTCAACACCAGTTCCCCTTTTTGCATGGTATTCGGGTGATCCACTTTTCCTGGGGTTCGGAAGGTCGAGACCATCAGTCGACTGATGTGAAAGACTGATCTCGGTGCCCAAAAAACCGATGTTCTCCAGGGGTGGGACTGATGTGAATGAGAAACAAATACCGTATCCCACTGAGCCCTGGGAGGCAAATGGATCACACTCCAAATGAATTTCTACGCAGAGCTACTTCTTGTTCTTCGCTTCTGGCTCGGTGCCCAGCCGCACTTTCGCCCACAACTTGCATCTGCTTAACAAAAGGCACCGACAAACACATCCAGACACCCAAAGGCCGCCGGGCAAAAAAACGCTCCTCCGGCACTTCTGCCTCCGCCTGACGTGGCAGTTGGTTTTTGTCGGCTCAGTGCGGATGATGGGCACATCCCAATATCTGGTGTGAGGGACTCACTTCAGAAGTGATTTAAAGCGAGTCTTTGATACAAATACTAGAAAAATAGGAAAATGGATGAACATGATGGATGATCATGGAATAGAAAACCCTGGCATTTCAGGTATGACATTTTTCGGTGGTGTTCCATCCTGACCTTCAGGGATTCAATCAGTATCCTCCTTGCAAAGACTACAATCAACATCGCTTGCTCAAGGGGGTCCAGTCGTACATCCTGAGGTTCGGTGTTTGGGAGGGGTTTGAGGGGTCCAAGCGGGTAGTAGGTGAGAGCTTTAACCAAAAACCTTGCATGTAAGCCACAGCCTATGTGTCATACAAAATGTCATACAGGATCTACTGCAGCAAAACTGGCTAAATGACTATATACCATCAGCACCACCCCTGGTGCAAAACAAAGTGTGTTTGTTAAAAACCTAGTTTTATACTGCATATGTATATATATATAACATATGCTATACTATACGCATCTTCTTGTCTATGTACCTCACTCTTTCACCGACACCAGAACTCCGGTGCAGCCTTCTTCGCGCCCTCAGGCGCATCTGGCGCGTCCGCCATGGCGGCACGGGCAGCTGCGAGGTTTCTTTGAACAAATCTCGCAGCTGCGAATCGTACTCTGAAGGCACCAAAAGGCTTCTTGGAATAAAACCTATTGGAATCGTACGTGGAATCTCCTCTCTTCATTTGCCTTTGGGGACGTGCTTTCTCGCAAGAAGGGGATTTTTCACCGCGAGAACTCGTGATGAGATGGAGTGAATGGAAGTTATAGATCAGTGTTTTAGGGTCCGAGTCTCGAGTCTATACTTTTAAACCTGGTCTACGACCTTTGCATCGACGTAGTTGAGGCTTTTGCAGTCTGAGCCGATGATCTCTACCTTTGCACCAGCAAACGTCACAGCTTCGTCTTGACCCTGTTGAAGAATAGGAACAGCTTTATATAGACCGTTGAACTGGATAAATGTGACCGTTTCACAAGTCCTCTGTTGGTCCAAAAGTGAATGGACCAAAACACCCTCGAACCCCGTGTGGACGAAAGCACTGGCTACCGGACACTATTAGGTGGAGGCCATCGCAAGAGAGTGGAGGCCATCGCTAGTAGTAACAAGAAGCTACTAGTAACAAAACGGCATCGCTACTAGGAGCAAGGACGCTACTACTAGTAGCTCCTGGCCTTGCTACTAGTAACAAGAAGCTACTAGGAGCATGTAATGTTAGGACACGGACTGCCAGTGGTCAAGACTCGGTGCAGCAACCTCAGGGCGTATTCTCCTCTCAGAACATTCTTCTCTAATCCCAAAGGCTGTTGTTGATCAACCATGACCAACCCCTATCTAAACCGCCACTTGGGAATTGAGAGCTCTTGGTATCTCTTGGTTCTGACCGATCTCCTGCAACCCGACTGCGACTGCAATCCCTTTGCAATTTCCCGCTGATGAGATCTGATTTGATGAGATGTGATGAGATGGCTGTGCATCAAACCCGGGAGCCCATTTCACTCTCCTTGCTTGACCATGTCTCGGGGTTGTCTATTCTGTCCACTCGCACTCCCACGCGTTCCGTACCCAGATCCTTAGTAGTCTAATTCTGTTCCTTTGATTGAAAAAAAAAAAGAAAACGAGTCCGGCCCGGCTCCATGACCCCGATCGGTTCTGAAAGCACGAGTGATTCGCTGACGTCCGAGTGATACCGACGCGGCTCCCGCATCGGACGACGAGCTCGGTCGGCGCAGCTTTTCGGGCTCGTCCGGCGTTGAGACCCGGAGGTTGGCCTAACATTATCCCCTAGGGATCCACATACCCTCTGAGGTACGGTGAGGACGGAGAATTTGGGTTGTTTGCCGGTGCCAGCAAGTCGGGTCCAGTCGTACCGAACCTGAGAAGGTATGTGGATCTTTAGGGATCAGATTCATTTGGAGCGAAACTGAAGCTCCAAAGTCAACGGCTTTGAAAAGAGACTGGGTATGTCCCAGAAAAACAGGATGACCCGAAACTACTTGGGATCTCTGCAGTCACATGGATCTGATGATGGTGCTTAATAGCGCTTATATCTGCTTATAGGTTTCACCACATGTCTTCTGTATTCAACATGGAATGCTTTTCCTCTCAGCAGCCAATGCGCTAGTATACCTTCTGGGGTCTCGTCAGGATCTCAATATGGGTCTCTTTTCCGGGACAATTTGTGTGCAGGTTTCAGATCAATATACATTGGAATGATGCGTGTTGTAAGAGTTGTAAGGGAATGCCTCTTCCAAAGGCCAGCGTCTCATTTCATGTTGTCGTCATTCGACCAGCAAAACCATCCAAAGGCCAATCGAACAATCATGGTGGTATTGTTGGATTGTATACCTTCTGAAAGCCTACCTACCTACCAAGTGACCATCAGTAATGATATACTCCCCTGCAGATTACCCACTGGGTTGGAGCTTCGGAACATGGTCTTCCACCACGCAATTCTCAAGGTCCCTCTGGTCCGTGTGTGGAGGGTTATGCTCTTTGAGGTGTGCATCCTCAAAGCCGCGACTTGAGATCATCGCCACAACTCACCAGCCTTTGCCTTTGCCACCTTTCCAGCCTGAAAGGAGGGATGGCACGTCAAGGAAGAACAATCAATTCAGCGTTGGAATCCACGCAAGGATGCTCAACATACCGAACTTTCACTCTGATGTGGCTATACAGTTACATGATTGGATGGGTCTGGAAGGAAATGGAACAAACCCGAGTTGCAAGCATTCGTGCCATGAACTGCCACTTAAACTGCTCTGAACCATGGAACGTGCCGTATCAGAATCCGGGACCTTCTTCTGTGTTCGGTCAACAAGTATATTGCACCTCAATTCATAAAACACAGACTCTCTCTCCACATCTTTTGACTTCTCTCCACTTCTCGACATGTGATTTTCAGACCCCCAAAACCAAGTCTGCGCGAGGCGAGCGCCGTGTTTCACTCCATCGGAAGACCCGAAAAGTTGGCGGTCCGACCTGGGCGAACCTGAAGGATGTCTTGGCAGCGAACATCAAGGCAGATTTCGGTAGATCCCTGCAGAAGACTAAAACCTGGATTGAACATCCATCTATTTCGGGACCTCTAGAATAGAGGTCCAACAGTATTCAAGGTCCAACAAAGTTGCAGCATCCCCTGCTCAAACCGCCATCCTGCACTCAAAGCAAAGCGCCTCCTTTGAAGCCATTTCCTGTGGAGGGGAACATGTGCCGGCAGAAACACTGATGATTGACTACAGGCTCTCTTTAAAAATCACTTAGTGGTGCTGAGAAATCTCTTGTAATATCTTGTAATTTGAGGATTGGGACAACGCGGATGAGTACAGGGAAGACCGTCACGCCACCGTGTCGATTGCATGTTGCCAAGTCAGCTTGGATCTAGTTGAACAGCGAATGCCCAGAGTTTGGCAGATCCAGTGCATTCTTGGTTTCAAACACACAACTAAGTAGCACAAGTCCCCAGTGCCCCAAAATTCAGTCCCAATGTCTAAACCACAAGGACTGATGGTCTAAGAGTCCACCTGAGGACAATCAGTTGTCTTAGTTCCTGCATTGTTCAGTTTACAATGTGACGAGTTCATTTCAACCTTCCCCTTCCCAAACAATCCTTCGTAAAAGCCCCACACCTCAGCTCGGCCAATCGAATCATGAACAGGAAAATGCAAATGCAAAATATGTCTTTTTCCTTTCGCGCATACTGGGTCTGATACAGGCCCTTGGCTCATGCATGGCATCCCTTACTCCGAACTCTTACGGCTCAAACGATTCCCCGACCAGGCCATGCTAGGGCCATTCGAGGTCTAATTTTGGTACCTGGCACTCACGCATGGCTCCAGCTTGATCTGTTGCCAACAATGAAGAATTACCATGCTTGTAGAGGTTCGATGGCACTGGCACCCCAAGATCTAGATGGGGTTCCAATTTCAACCACCAAACTTGGGGGCCCAGAGGTGCCATCTGCTCCTCAATCCACCAAGTACCCCAGTGCCAGGAAAACGACCAAACTACAACCAGTACCACAGTCGAACACCCCCGGGCGGTCGACACGAAATCAGGCGCCGCGGCGCCTTTCCAGGAACCTTTGCCTGGAATATATCGGAAGACATCGGCCGAGTTGGACCGATGAAGGTTACTATCCGGGATCTCCATTGGACACCCAGACAGGATGGTCCAGGTATATAGTAGTTTTCTCAAACATGTGTTGAACAATATTGAACATGAGTGAAGATGTCTTGGTTGGACAAAACACTCACAACGGATGTAGTCAACTTGCTGCACTCATGCAATGGCTCGTGGTCCACCTGCTCAGCACCATGAGTCATGCCTGGGTAGATGGATATGTTAGTGTTCATGGTAGTCGATGGGTGTTCATGGTAGTCATAGAGACTTGAGCAAGTACTGTTTTCCGCCAGCGCCTTCATGCACCTTCCCCCGCACTTCTACGATGCTTTTCAGCATGCAAAAGCCTGAAGTGTCTCTGAAGCCTTGGACTCTGAGTTTTTTGTACCACGAGATGCTCGGAGGCCAGAAGTTTTGGATGACTGCTATGCCCTTGGTGGGTGACCTCGAACATGGAGGTGGGCTCGATGGTCCCAACGTTCCGAACGCGCTCACGCTGAGTGGATTCCAGCAAGCGTTCCCTTCAACAGAGGTCATGGTAGCTGTCTGGACAGATCTGGACACATCTGGACAGTATCTATCTATCAGGAGACGGAATCGAGTCTCATAAGGCAAGATCTTGATGAATCAAGTCCTGCCAAAACATGGAATGCAAAACCTGTTCAAGCCCGAGCAGTTGAAATTTCATCAAGAACCCACTGAAAAGATCTGGTTTCAACAAAAGGATCCCACTGCCACCCATTTCCTTTCAGGAGACCCCCTGGGTGGGCAGACTGGTCTTTGTCCCGAACCTTCCAGGGGGGGTCGGAATGCCTGCGGTTCAGTCTCCCTAGGACTGAGCTACGCACCCATGTAGACCCTGAGCATTTCCAGCTTCGCGGGACCCCCCTGAGCGCGTTTCACGCCGCGCGTCTAACAGGCCCTGCGCCTGGTGAAGTGCGTGGAGCGGGGCCACGTTCGCCCTGGTGACGTACGCCCACGTGTTCGCATGGCAAGGGATGGGCTTTCTCAACCAGAAGATCAAAGAAGTCATGGGCACTTCATAGGGTAAACAATAAGCTACTACTAAGTAGGTAGGTCATTTGGAACTGGATGCGTGGGCTCACGGCAGTGGGTCTTCGGTCCTAAGGGTGAGAATGGCAGCACTGCACTGGGTGGCTATGGGCCACCAGGACCTCACAAAAGGAGAAGAAGCGAGCAACCAAGTACTCCAGAAAGAGTGCCAGAGTTGTCTCGCGAACTTCAACTCATACAAACTCTACTTCAACTCAACTTGCCCACCAAATGGGTCATTCCCTCCATCAAAGAACCCGTCAGTCTTCCGAAGCAAAAAAGGAACGGCTGCCTGCGCGGGCCATGAGGCTGCTCGCTTCAAGCCCTGAGTGCGGGGAAATCGCCGTAGCAAAATGGGAGACACTCTGGCCCTGGCTGGGTAAACTGGTTCAAAATCGATCTTCCAGGGGTCGTTGCCTGGGAGGTCTCCCTAAAATGATACGAATGTCTTTAC